ATTTTTACTGTCTTTATTTCTTCATGAAGTGCATCAGATCAACTTGGGGAATGTTAATGGAAAATGTCAAGACACTTTCACTTTTTTTTGCTAGTGTGTGAATTAATTGTGACTGTATTACTTGATTTTACAAATGTGGGTCACTTTTTTCCCTTCACAATCATTTTAAGGACATAAAGGAAAAGTATTATCTGGCTAATTTATTACAAAAATCTGAATTGTCATCATTTAATTACAGTCAAGGTAAGTGTTTTGTTTCCTATTTGCCTTCGTCTAAGCCTTAAAGCAACAGGTAAACTATGTGGTCATCAATATGGCCATTTTAGAGTTGCTTCTGTGGCACGTTCTGAAACTTCTGAATTTCCTAATGCTGGTCTGTATAAATACTCAGCTTTAGTTGTTGTCAGTCGAATCTACTGCACAGATCTGAAAAATCATTATTAGTAATTTCTGTTTTCATTTGCAACTCAGTCCCTTTTGATACCACCACCTGTCTGTCTGTCCTGGGTCTCAGAGTGAAAGCACATATTTAACTGCTACAGGCTCACAGCTCCAAGCAGCACCTTGGTGTGTGATTAAAAACCCTCAAGCTTTCTTACCTTGTCATTCTTTATTCCTCCCTCTGGTAGTCCTAATTTACCTCAGTGTCAGCTCTGCCATTGCAGCAGATGTCTGCATTATAGAAATAGTTACGAGGATTTGTGAATACATGTTGTGGTTTAACCCCAGCCGGTAACTAAGCACCACACAGTTGCTAGCTCACAGACGCACACATCCCCCCACCCCACAGCTCTATGGGGAGAATTGGAAGAAAAAGGTAAAACTCCTGGGTTGGGATAAGGACCATTTAATAGGATAACAAAGGAAGAGAATAATAACAACAGTAACATATAAAACAAGTGATGCACAAATGCAAGTGCTCACCACTTGTGGAGGAAAAAAAACCAACCCCGATGCCCAGTCTGTTTCCAAGCAGTGATCCCACCTCCTGGGATCAGGATCTCATGCTGAGCATGACATCATATGGTATATGGTATGGAATATTCCTTTGGCCAGTCTGGGTCAGCCGTCCCAGCTGTGTCCTCTCTCAACTTGTTATGCACCCCCAGCCTACTTACTGGTGGGATGGTGTGAGAAACAGAAAAGGTCTTGATGCTGTGTAAGCACTGCTCAGCAATAACGAAAACATCTCTGTATTATCACACTGTTTTCAGCACAAATCCAAAGCATAGTCCCCGCTAGCTACTATGAAGAAAACTAACTCTATCCCAGCCAAAACCAGCACAATACATTAGAAACAACATAGCTAACCAGCTTGCCTTTTCCATGACTTTTCAGAGATCCCTCTCATAAATAGGAGAAGAGTCAGTTTTGAGTCTGGAAGAATCAGTTCTTTACCCACCTCAGGATTCTGACAGACTGACACTTAGGGGGAAAAAAAAAACCCCACCGTGCATGACTGACAACTTAAGGGGACTTTAGGTAGAGGCAGGAAATGTCTGGCTAAAAGACATTTTAGGGTAAAGGGGCAAGCAATAACCACAATTGTTATTCCTGTTAGGAAGCAGAGGTTCTATTTTGCCTGTATCTTGATGACTGTTTGGTGGATCCTCACAAGAGTAGACTTGCTGCAAGTTCGCTCTGATCTTGTGAAACACCACATTTTATACCAGTAAGTGATAGTCTGACAGGTTTACTGGAGCCATACTCATCCTTGGACAGGGCTGTTTCAATGTGGAAGCTCTTCATGGCATTAGAGGACGGGTTTTATTGTGTTGAGCTGAAGGACCACCCTTTCCTGTGAATGCACATATCTGTCTTTTGGGATGCAGGGCTACCTTGGTTTGGCATCCTCAACGCCAAACTTAATTTTTAGATTTGTAGCTTGACTTTGCAACTCTCCTTCCAAGAGCATCCTTCTTCTGCACATATTCCACATATATTCTGTATCATGAAGGATTCGTTTTTGTGTTTTGTGGATGTACCAGTCCATGCTTTTCCTTCGCTTGCTTCAGTGGTGTTGGATGTCTCCATCCTGGGATAGAATCATAGAATACCAGGTTGGAAGAGACCTCAAGGATCATCTGGTCCAACCTTTCTTGGCAAAAGCACAGTCTAGACAAGGTGGCCCAGCACCCTGTCCAGCCGAATCCTGAAAGTGTTCAATGTTGGGGAATCCACCACTTCCCTGGGGAGATATTCCAATGGCTGACTGTTCTCATTGTGAAACAATTTTCTTCTTCACAAAAGCTCTCCTCTTGTGAAAAATTTTCCTCCTGAAATAGGGTTACCTATTCAACTTTGTACTCAGAGGTAGGAACCTACTGAAGCTCAGATCTGTCAAGATGGCCTGCAAAGTTTCTTGCTGTACATTCAGGGACACTACATGCAAGTAATATCTGACAACAACATTGTAATATTGTATGTTAATGATTAAGATAATACCAGTTCCTCACTTCAGTGCCTTGCGCTTGCAATAATTAGAATACCAGGCAGTTTCTGGAGGCTGAAGGACTGACGTATGACTTGCTTTCATATTTGCACTCTGGAGTGGGATTGAGCTGGGGCTTCCTGTCAGATGCCTACTGGGTGGAAGTGCTCTGGAGTGGAAATCTGGTGGACACCCTTCCTCTAGTGCCTCTCCACTTGAAGATAGTGTTAATCCCTGCCTAACTCAGAAAGTTCTAGTTTTGGATTTACTTCAGTTTCTTAGTGGAGGATCCTTTCTCTGTTTGTTTTGTCTCTTTAGGCAGGCTTCAATACAGATCCTGCATATGGATTTTAGCTACCCCAGCTTGGATGCAGAATGGCTTTTGTTAAATGAAAGTCTTGGTTTCTCCACTGTGAGAGTTCTCAGTGTCAAAAGAAATTCTGTATCAGAGGGAAACTTTATTCAGGTAGACTCAGTCGTGTATCTGGTGTTAATTCAGGTCCAGGATATTGAGGTATTTTCTTGGGCTTGAAGAATGTGGCTTTGTCCAGTAAATCTGTCAAAAGTACATCTGTTGGTTATTTCTTTACCTTTTCTGAGAGCTCTCTGGTGTTCTCACTCTTCTAATTCAAACTCTGAGTCTTGGTCAAAGCCTCTCCCTTTCCCCAGGATACTTGACAAAAGTGGAGTTTAAACTGAGCATTTACGTGTCTTGTGGTTACTCATTTTGAGCGTGTGCATGCTTGTCCATAATATTCATGCTAGTGTGAGTGGCTTTTCTCATTGCTTTACACCAACAAGATATCTTTGGATGTGTGCATTTAATGTCCATCTCCTTGCTTTGCCTTCATCCTTGCAGGGGTTAATGTCTCCCTTTGAATTACACATTGAGAAAAACTGAGTATAGAGGGGGCTTGCATTAGCTTCTGTGGATTCCTGCTTTCATTTAGCAGTACTTGTAGCTGGTTGAAGTGCTTATGGCTTACTGTCACCCAGATTGAACAAGCACATGGGTTATATTTCTCAAAAGAGTCAATTTAATTCTAATTCTTTGCTGTTTTCTTAAATAGTGATCTTGTGCCTCTTTGGAGCTCAGTAGAGCTCAAACATTTCATGTATTGATGGCTTTCTTGCTGATAAAGGCAGCTTTGCACATATTTAAAAATTCATTGAGGGAGGATACATATTCTTTTGATCATAAGTGCAGATGTTATCCAAATGACTTTTCACAGAGACTGTCCCATTATTTTAAGCTTTCCAGGTGCATTTGTATGCAAGTCCTTAATTGAATATTTGCAAGAGGCAGTTGCAGTTGCACTCTACCTTGCTGTTTAGCTCTCTGGTCCCACCAGCAGTGACTCCTTTTAAAGTAAGGGGAAAGCTAGACTGCAGATCTGTCTTCTACCAGCTCTCTTCCAGAAATTAGATCCCTTTCCTCTGCAGGAAAATTCTTAATGTGTCTCCAATTGCACGATGCAACCAAAAATGTTGATTTTGTGTTCTTTACTAAAAGCTTTAATATAGACTGACAATATACTCAAGTAAATGGTACCATGAGGATATTGTCCTAAATTTAATCTTTGAGTTGCTTGCATGTGTTGTTTTCTTTAACATAATTCCTCAAAATAGCTTCATTGTTCTGTGGAAAACAGCAGCTTTTGCTTCTATCTGCCTCACAGTATGGAGAAAGAATAGAATATGGAAGTAAGATGACAGTGGGAATCTTACGTTGTTTTCCCCAGATTTTTTTTTTTTTTTTGCATAAGGTGGCTTAAATTCAGAGCACACTGTTCACTAGGTGACTTCTTACCAGTGGGATCTATACCACCTGATTATAAGCTTGAAGAATCTAGAGAAAATTTACTTTAAATAATTTAGATTCACAGGGAAAATGTTTTAACTCATAAAATTTTGAAGCAAGGGGCTATTATGATGATCTACTAAATCTGACTGTAAAAATTCAGTGATTTAATTTGAGCTGAGTTGAAGAGGTGACTCTTTATGTACACAGTTTCTTATAAAAGTTGTATAAAAATGAAAATACCGAAAATGAATGTTAACATGACAAGTGTTTTAAATAACTTGTCTTCCAAAGATCATTAGTTATTTTAAAAGTCTATTTTGTGTGCCAACATAAAATACTTCAGCTGTCCTGTCTGTAATTTGCTACCATTTATCTAGTTTTAGTCATGTTGTTGACTGTGTTGAATAAGACTAATACGGATATTGACATGAACTGGTACTCCAACATTGGGAATTCACCACTACTTAGAATAGCCTTTAAGTTGTACCTCAACAACTACTGATAAAAAAAAAAAATATATGTACCTGACTGGATAAAGCCCTGAGCAACCTGGTTGAATTTCATAGCTGACCCTGTTTTGCGCAGGAGGTCAAGCTGGAGACCTCCTGAGATCATTTCCAGCCTGGCTTATTCTGTGATACTTGAGTGTATATACATGCGTGAGTATATAAATGTGTGTGTAATATTTATAATTTATAAAGATACATTGAGTGATTTCAGATATAGCTATAATAAATTTTCATTCTGCTGGTTTTCTTTGCCCAGTCTGCCACTAAGAAACCTCGGAAGTCTCCAGCAGACAAGGGTCGTTCTGAATCTGGAGCTAGAGGAGCAAGTCGTGGAAGAGCTAATGGCCACCCTCAGCAGAATGGAGAAGGGGACCCTGTCACTTTGTTTGAAGTGGTTAAGCTGGGGAAGAGTGCTATGCAGGTAAAATAACTAATTGTGTTATCCCTTGACAATTCAGTATATCCTGACTGTAGAAGTTCAAAGGTAGGCTTTTGTAAACAATTGTATTTTTTCATAACCTGGATTGGTCCAATAGACTGTGTATGATAAAGTAAGGGACAGAATGTGCTTTGACTGAGTTGAGGACTGTCACATATACTTCTGAAAGACAAGAGACAGATCAGAAAGTTCCTATATTTCAAATTCTCCATTATTTTGTTCATTACTTCCAAACTGAAAATACATGTTGGTATTAAGCAGTCCATGAAAGAATATCCTGTAATAAATTTTATGTGAGGAAAAAGTAATGATATTAGTGATGGATCCAAGGTTTTTTGTTTGCTTGTTTGTTTGGGGTTTTTTTCCCCAAAATACCTGCTGACACAAGCACTTTTGACTACTTTGCACTGCAGTTTGCATTCTTCTTGCTGTCCCCACCAGGGCAGCAGATGGGGGATAGACTTCCTAGTAGCCTCGACTTCCTCTCTGTCGGAGGGACAAAAACGGACACATCCTGAAGGCCAATTTTTCATTGTAAAATAAATATCTAAGATAGTTGTAGTGAATTGCCTCTGGAAGTGTTCCTTATTCCTTTATGTTTTGATGAGTTTCAGAGGTCTTAGAGGATTTATTGGCCCAGATGAGTCCCACCTCAAGAACCTCTATAGATGATTGTTTTTGACAGTACTCGTGTGCTTTTAGTAAGCTACTGTGCTTCAGCTAGTTTTTGACACTCAAAGGAGAAACAATGGGCCCAAAACACAGTTCGTCCGGTGCAGTGCAAAGCCAACTGTCATTCATACTGAAGGACTGTTTAAGCAAACCTCCTTTACTTTGCATTTCAACAAAACAGGACTCATGCAATATCAGTTAGTTTGTTTTGACTTTGTGGTGCTAACATGAGAATATTACAAATTAGGAAAATTAGGGGCCAAGTCCCATTTTCAATATTACTTTTAGTGTAGCTAAAAGCTAAGTCTAATTAACTCCCAAAGCAATCTAGTCTCCCAAATGATTGAAAGCTGTTGAAAATTTACTCTCTGTCTCAAATCTGAAGTCTGAGATGTAATTTTGAAGAAGTAATAAACAGGAAGAAAATGGGAGATTTTACTCTTCATAGTTGCTATATTTACAGTTATTCAGGATTGACCCTTCTTTTCTAGTAGGTGAAGACAGAACAAATTTACTCCTAACAAAGCTACAGATTCCTTGTGCCTCTTCTTCCTACATGTTTAAAGTCAGGACTTCCAACTTTGCTTGGTTTTCAACACTTCTTCAAATTTCGTTTTTGGCAGGATTTGAGGAAACATCTGGAGTCTATTTTCTGCTTTTAGTGTGGTACAGCATATCCAATATGCTTTATGTAGTATGTTTTGTCTTAAAGTTGTTGATATTTGTGGGAGCCAAATGAAAAGTAATGGGTGATTGCTTTGATATTTGATGACTCTGTGTGTGTGGAATTGACTTTGATACATTTCATGTATTTCAAAGGTAATGCCATCAAAATCTAAAAAGAAATTGTCTACATGTTTGTGTTAAGAAACATTTGGAGTTCAAATACAAATGAATTGTTTTGAGAAATTTAGTATTTGTGTATCCATATATAGATGGGTGTGTCTGTATATATTTGTGCATATATACGTGCACGCACATGCTTAAAATGTGCCCAGCCTACATATTTGAGGAAGAAGTAGGCAGTGCATTTTAAGCAGTGGAGAAGTGATAAGCAAATGGTAAAGGAACGGGCAAGTTTATTTGAAGGCCTGGGATGCAAACAGCCATAAATGACTTCAGCTGTACTTAGGAGCACAGATTCTGATTTCAAGAGTATGCGTCGCTTGCGCATCTTTGAAAATTTTACTATTGGTAAAAATATTAAAACAAAAAAAAAAGAAAGAAATCCTATAGTGGGAAAGAGGATGCAACTAAAATGTAATTTAGTATTTTTTAACTTGCACTTCTGGAGAATAATCCCATGTGAAACCAAGATTATATAAACCAAAATTATTAGCATCTTTATACCTTTCTTTTTTCTTAATCGCTTAGGGATTTTGATGTAAAAACCAGGAATGTTTGGCACTTTTGTTTTTCATAGTTTCAATGCAGGTTTTTTGTGGCCAATTTTAGCAATCTTGTCAGTATTGCAAATTTTCAGACAAGTGCCATATATTTGTATTTGTCAGAACCTATTATTTTTCAGTGTTTTGTTCTTTCTCTGTAATATGAACCTGCATTTTTCTATAGCACTTGTAAGTTTGCAATGAAAATGCAGAGAAATTCAGTTAATATATTCTGAGATTACATGGGAATTTTGCTTCATGTGCTTTCATTTCTGATCTATCTGCTCCTGCTGTTTGCTCTCAGGATTTAGTTGTTAGATTTTTCTGGCTTTGTGTTGCCAACTCATGGAAGTCTGTAGCTGAACTCAATTCTCACTTCTTTTAAGTTTTTCCTCTATTTTGGTTCTCATTGCAGGATTCATTTACTACTTCTCTTCAGGCTTATTGCTGTTTCATTCTTGCAGGGAAACAACATTAGTTTAATATTTTGTATTTCAAGTATACATAATTCAGAGTTGCTCTTCGCATATAAATCTTTGCTTCTGTTATGAAGTGCTGGTTGTGTTGGTGTTAAGTCTCGTTTGAACTCTATAAATCAATTTCATACCCTCATTAACTTGATTTCAGATTGTTGTCACTGCTTTCAAATTTGCTCTGTAACCTTTTGTACAGTTAGTTGCTTCAGAAGTTTTTCTATTGGCAGCTTTCTGTGTATAAAGTGACATATGACCTGCTGTTCATGTCTTCTGTGGGTACATTTTGTTGTTCATAGAGTTTTTTTAGACTCCATGGTTTTTTTTCTCAGGCAAACATGATACTCTTCTGCTTTTTGTCATTTGTCTCTTTTTTTTTTTTTCCCTTGAATGTTTTTATGGGTACAGCTATATCTATTATATTTCCCTACTCTAAAACTCTGTAGGCAGAACGGACTATATTGACATTTCTCATGTCTGAACTGCTTGAGTTTACACTGACGTGAGTAAAGGGTGCAGGAGAACCTCCACTCCTCCAGCTGAGCACCAGTACAGAAGATGACTGTTAGCTTAAATCTTCATTTCTGCATTGGTCTCTGACCCTGGCATTAAGCTGGCAGGGAAGTAAAGAGTGTGTGAGGATCTCGCATTTTGTTTAGGCCTCAGTCTGAAAATTTCTCATAAGTAAATTATGACCAATTAGCTGTAATGAAGTTTGTACTTATGTATTGGTCAAACCGAGCATAGAAGTGTTCTCTTGCTTGTGTGCAAAGGGGCTTTGTACCTCCCCCAGAACATCAGAGAGAATCATCAGTAATTGTAAGAGGTGTTCAATACCAAAACATGAACAGACCTATGCCTTGATTACTCTGTAATATTATTTGCATTACCAGTTACCCTTAGTTGATGTTAGCAGTTCACTATGGATTAGATACTGATTTTGAAAACAGTATTTGGTCTGTCTGCTTATGCTTAGCTAATAAAAGTGATCTTGGTGTCAGTTAGACATGGTTCAGAGTAAATATGGCTCCATTATATGCCAAGGACCATTTTAGGATTTGTATCCAAAGAGAGCTTTCTAGTATGTTGAAATGGAATTTTTTTTTGTGCCACCAGTTCTTTGTCTCTCCAGAAATGAAGAATGCGTATAGTTCCTTGCTGTTATTGTCTTGCTCACCTGGCGTGCATGGATTTGAGCCTTTGAGGTTCCCTGCCTGTAAGCGTAAAGCTGTATTTGTAGCACTGCTTACCCTGTCACGAGAAGTTGTTTTCTTTTTTTCTTATGTTTCAGTTCCTCAGATTTTTGTCATCTTTGCACCTACTGGGCTTATGCTGGCAAGCTGTGACTCTTGTTCGCAGTTCTACACTGGCTAGAAAGTATGTGTATCAGAGCAGGAACATCTTGGTTTTTCCCTTCTCTGGCTTGAAAGAATTAAAAATCTTTCATTAATATTAATTTAAACTACTTCTGAAATGTTAACAATATTTTCAATATTATTTTCAATATTATACTGATTTTCAGTGTTTATCTGCCTGTTGCAGACTGAGGTTAAAAATTAGTACATGCAAAAATAAAGGTTATGCGTCCCCTGTAATTACACATTTGAGCTGTTGGAAATAATATGAAAGAGGTAAAGGAAACACCCTGAACACTTTCAGCAGTGCTCTTTTTTTGTTCTTTATGTGTTAGCATCTTACTGGCATGGTTGCCAGTTCCTTTTACCATTATGTGTCAGCTTTGGATGATGTTTAGTCAACATCTGTATCTGAAATTATTTTCTGATTGAAACTCCTAGTACCTCCAGTATCTTTTTCTATCATTTTGAGATGTGATGATCTCTACAGGAAACGCAAGATAGTTCTTCCAAAGACGTTATGTCTTTATGCATCTTGTTAATGTGGCATATCCTATATAATTTCAGTATTTTTTGTATTTTCTTAGCATTTAGTGCAGAAATATACCATTATGGTCTGTATACTACCTCCCTGTGTAGCTCAGACCATGGAATCTCACCCATTTCTGTATTAAGCCAACAGCTTCTTTTACAACCCTCATTTTTCTATACTAATAGTAGTATTAGTTTCAGTTAATTAGAAGTTAGGGTGGGCCAATTTTAGCAACTGTAGAGGCAGAGCCAAAGTTTTGAATATCATCATTCTCCCTGAGGTCTTGCTGCAGTAGCTGCTCCCCTATCCTGGTGGTCACAAGTACCTTGGCATTTGTAGCAGGGAGCTGGACTGGTGAATGTGGAGCCCGAGGTGGCACTGGCCTTGGAGAAGATATCTGATGCCCCCCTCAGAGAGCGAGGTTGCTCCTTAGGGTGGCTTCTCCCAGGGAAGGAAGTTGACAGCAGAGCAAGCCCCAGTGACCGCACAGCTTTATCAGCTGGTTCCTAATGCACTCTGCATGTGTTAAGCTTTGATCTGCTTACTTCTCTCAAGTCCCTGG